TGACAGTGCTACAAACCCTTGGCCTTCTCGCAATAAGCTTCATGATGTAGTCACCTGAAATGGTTTTCACTTCACAGGTGTGCCTTGTCACAGTTCATGTGTGGAGTTTGCCTTCTTAATCGGGTTGGAACCATCAGTTGTGTAGTTAGGAAGTCAGGTTGGTACACAGCTGACAGCCCAATTTGACAACTGTTAGAACTCATATTATGGCACAAACCAATCAGCTAAGTAAAGAGAAACAACAGTCCATCATTTCTTTAGAAGCTTTAGGTCAGTCAGTCTGGAAAATTGCGAAAACTTCAAATGTGTCCCCAAGTGCAGTCGCAAAAACCAGCAAGCGCTACGAAGAAACTGGCTCACCTGAGGCCAAAAGGAAGACCAAGAGTCACCTCTGCTGCTGAGGATAAATTCATCCCAGTCACCAGCCTCAGAAATTGCAAGTTAACAGCACCTCAGATTAGAGCAAAAATAAATGCCACACAGAGTTCCAGTAGCAGACACATAGAATTAAAGGATTATTCTATTCTATTCAATCTCCACATTAACTGTTCAGAAGAGACTGTGCAAATCAGGGCTTTATGGTCAAATAGCTGCTAAGAAACCACTACTAAGGAAAAGCAACAAGGAGAAGAGATCTCAGCCTCTCTGGGAACTCCTTCAAGACTGTTGGAAAACCATTTCAGGTGACAACCTCATGAAACTCATCGAGGGAATGCCAAGAGTGTGCAAAGCCGTAATCAAAGAAAACTGGCTATTTTGAATCTAAAATATAAAACATGTTTAGAGTTATTTCACATTTTCTTGTTTGCTACATAATTCCAAATGTGTTCATTCATAGTTTTGATGTCTTCAGTGAGAATCTACAATTTAAAAGTCATGAAAATAAACAAAAAACATTAAATGAGAAGGTTTGTCCAAACTTTTGACTGGTAGTGTATGTGTGACAGAAAAAAAAAGGAAAAGCGCGATGGGTGTCGTAACCATTTAAAAACATTGTTTTATCTGCGGCAGCATTAAAATCTTTTCAGATGCTCCTGTTCCTTAACGAATCTCTTTACATGTTTGTCATGTGTTCAGTTTAGGTCTGATCTCAGATTCTTTCCACATGTTTTTTGACTGCACTGCCCTGCTGGCAGGTCTGGCAGCCTCCGTCATCTCCAGGTGGAGATCCAACGATAGCTTCTCCTACGGGTGAGAGCATCCACTCTGAGCTCTGTTTCTGGTCTCTGACTGACAGTCAGTGTGTTTAATCAGTCTGTGTCCTGTCTGTGTCTCAGCTATGTGAGAGCAGAGGTTCTGGCAGGCTTTGTCAATGGGCTCTTCCTCATCTTCACTGCTTTCTTCATTTTCTCGGAAGGAGTTGAGGTAACACATTTGCCACTTTACCTAAGTTTTACCATCACATCTACAAGATGTGTCTGCTTATTATGCAGTGCCTGTTATAGCATTACAAGTAGGCCAACATAATGGATTAAAATAACTGGTTCTTGTGGTTCTTCTTTTGTTTTTCTGTACTCGAGCACTCAAAATGCTTTATACAACATGCCTCATTCACCCACTGACACAAATGCTTTTTTCTACACCTAAGTGCTTTGTATCTAACAGTCACACTACACTGAATGCATCAGAGAGCAACTTGGGATCAGTATACTGATATGAAAATCGTAAAGCTTTAACATCAGCATCAGTAGTTTCACGCAGATGGGAGCCTATAGGGAGAAAGCCGTCGATTTGACGAGATTGTTTGATTGGTTGCTGTGAGAACCAGTCAAACAGTCTTTCTTTGACTCGGAGTCAGATCTTTTCTGGATTAGGTTTATTCACTGTAAACGAGGTTAAATAATGGCTTAAATGACATTGACCAGCTATGGCTGCAACATCTGCACACCCTAATTCATTACTGTCAGAGAGGTACTACTTCAGTCTAGGAATAATTCTTATGTGCAATTTATTAGCACCCATGTAAGGAAAAAATTTCCTGTCACTGTCTATAAAAACTGATCAAATCAATGAAATAACAAAATTTCACTACACGGTTTGTCATATTACACACATAATGGCAGGAATGATGATGGAGCTTAGTTAACCTGAAGTAAAGTCGCATCCGTCAGTCTTCAGCAGAAGAAATCTCTCCTTTTATCAGATGAGCCAAATAATATATTAGTTGGGTTAGTTTAATTGGTGATTCTAAATTGCCAGGGTGTACCCTTCATCTCACTCTGTGGCAGCTGAGACGGGGCTTCACCCCCCTGTGATGCTGAATTGGATACGTGGAAGAGAATAGATGAATTTATTATAACAACAACAAATCAGACAGCACAGTCAGACTTACCTTTGGTGAGTATATAAGAGTGTATACAGTAGATCACCCAGTTGATCTTGGGTGATCAACTGGGTGATTAAACAACGTAAGAACAATGAGTCCCTTGTGTACGTTTTTGCATCTGATCATGTGTACTGTATCAGTTCTCCTAATACTGCAGACGTTGGGGTAGAAACAAATCATTTTTACTCTTGTAGTTACATAACCTTAAGCTTTAACAGGGCATGCTGACATTTAGTGAAAATACACCTGCCAGCATGTGACCATCTGTCTCTGTTTGTCAGAGAGCTCTAGAGCCTCCAGATGTTCACCACGAGCGGCTGCTTCCTGTCTCTGTAGCCGGTCTGCTGGTGAACCTGGTCGGGATCTTTGCGTTCCAGCATGGAGGACATGGGCACTCACATGGAGAGGGAGGTAATACACCTGAAAGATTTAGCCTAGAGTGTCTCTGCCGCTCTTGAAGTGCTTTGAGTCGATTCCGCAGTTTGGTTCCAGTGAAAATGATGTTGTTTTCAGCATTCATACCTGTGCGGGCTGCACTGATGCCAGCGTGTAGTTACATTTCTAGAGCGCAGATACGACATGGGGTGTCAGAAAGGTTTGCGGTTACGGTGTACCTTCACCAGCCATTTTCCACAGAAAGTTTTAGTCATACCTCAGCCAAATGAGAATATGGCATCTTTAGTGTCAACTACCCAGCATTATATCCTACATTTTTCATGGATTCATGGGCTTTACACCTAAAAACCTAATTGTAATGGAGTCGGGAATAAATAAATCACATTATTGAAGTGGAACCCTCATAGCTACTTTTGTTCAATCAAGTAGAGCCTGTACAGATCAGGCATCTGAGTGCAACCATACAACATGTAACCACACGTCTCATTTTTACATTATTGTTGCAACTCTCTAAAATGTGTTCTGCAGACCCAAACACTAAAGCAGGTCTCTAAAACTTTGATACTGTAAACCTGGTAGATGTTCGAAGCTCGTCCACCTTTTTATAGGGACTCTGCAACTCTGTAGACCCTCTGTAAATCAAGTGAACTAAACTGAGGCTCAGTTAAATGTTGCTGCATGCCACTAGAACATTGATACATCTGTGCAGAACCTCACAGGTCGACTGCAGCCTTGTACAACTTCACTGCAGATCTTTGCTTGTCTGACGTCTCCTTCTCCATCCTCAGACCACGGACACAGTCACTCTCTGTTTAATGGTAGCACAAGTCACGGTCACAGTCATGGAGGACATCACCACCACGACAAACATGCAGATTGCCACAGTCATGGAGGACATCACCACCATGACAAACATGCAGATTGCCACAGTCATGGAGGACATCACCACCACGACAAACACGCAGATTGGCACAGTCATGGAGGACATCACCACCACGACAAACACGCAGATTGGCACAGTCATGGAGGACACGAGGAACCACACTATAATGGTGAGAGTCTGACAAAGGAAAATGCTGCATGAGAATGCCACAAACACAATTTAGACACTTTTAGCCCTTTTCCCTTAGTACCTACTTAGATTGGCTTGGCTCAGTTCGACTCAGCTAATTTTCTATTACAATTGAGGACCACCTCGTGAGGGTCATTATAGCAATGTGGCCGCACGTCCCGTGATGTCATTTTTATACAACATGAACATGATTGTTGGTTTGATCTCTGGCTGCCTCAGCCAGCATGCCAAAGGTGCTCCCAGTGTAGTCATCAGTGTGTGAATGTTAGAAAGCGTTCTATCTAGCACAGGCATAGTATGTGAATTTGTGAATATGGTATATTGTAAAAAAACGTTTGAATGCTCATGTAGATTTAATAAACTGCCATCAGAACCTCACGGTTTATGAAATTCATTTAGTAGTAAAACAAACCTGCGTGGTACAGACTTCCTCCAACCTCACTTGTTGCGTTTTTTAATTAATTTATTTTTTGCTTTTTAGACGAACTGCAACACCTGCCGGGAAAAGGCTCCAGCAAACAGATCCTGCAGGGTGAGAAATGAACACACACACACACACACAGTGCTACACTAAACTACTGGGGTGGAGGGGCGTTCCCAAAGTGCTCCCAAAGCGCTGTGTCTTCTGAGCATGCAGTACTCACCTCCACCCCACAACACTACTGGTCTTGTGGATCGGTTTGTTGAGTCTGTTGGCATATGCAAGTGTCAGCCTGCAGAACAGAATAGAGGATGGCACTGGTCACAGCACAATTCTGGAAACTGCTTAGCGTTGTCCGACAGATGTTAAGACCTCAGAAAAGACTGCTCTGGCCCTTCCTGTGGAAATAAATAGTGATCAGGACTTAAACCAGAGTGCTTTCAAACTTTTGCACTGCTACTTTTACTTAAGTAAAGAGCTA